TTGAATATGGTCTTGGTATTCATCATGCTGGCATGTTGAGATCTGATCGATCAATGACAGAGCGTTTGTTTTCTGAAGGATTTATAAGGGTATATTTACCTTTCAAAATAGAGTTATTCAACTATTCTAACTTGTTAAATCATAGTAAAGGTTATTTTGTTTACATAGGTCTTGTGTTGTACTGCAACTTTAGCTTGGGATGTAAATTTACCGGCTTACGCGGTAATAATTAAGGGAACGCAAGTATATGATTCTCAAAAGGGTAGATTTGATGATTTATCAACTTTAGATGTTATGCAGATCTTTGGTAGGGCAGGTTGTCCCAAGGTTGTCAACATAATGCTTTGTTTTTTATTTTTATTTTTATTTATTTTATTCTTTTTTAAATAAATATTTTTTTTTACTTATATAACCCTTATCACTTAGTATGAAACGCATAGCGTAGGCTATATTTTAACAACAAACGACAAACTATCACACTACGTGTCTGCAATGATACATCATCATCCTATTGAATCAAAGTAAATCCTCTTAGTTTGAACTTGTATTATGATTGGTGAATCACTATTCTAATCTATTTTGGTTAATTTCTATAGATTCATAGATAAAATGGTTGACAATTTGAATGCAGAGATTTCACTCGGCACCGTGACAAATGTTGATGAAGGAGTTCGATGGCTGGGTTATACGTATCTGTTTGTACGTATGAAAAAGAACCCACTTGTATATGGAATTAATTATTCGGAACGAGAAGATGATCCGGAGTTAGGTAAACAACGACGCGAACTTATTGTGAATGCTGCAAAGACACTTCATAAAATTGGAATGATCAAGTTCTACGAAGATACTGATTATTTCGAAATTCAAGATATTGGTCGAATCGCTTCCAATTATTATATAACTTACAAAAGCATGGAAATCTTTAATGAAAAACTGAAAGAATCTATGAAAGAAGCCAATATTCTATCAATAATAAGTCAAAGCAGCGAATTTGCGGATTTGAAATCAAGAGAAGTGGAGGCTAAAGAACTTGAAAGACTTAAGGAAAATGCTTGTCCTTGTCAAATTAAGGTTGTATTATATCCCGATCGATGATGAACTTTTCTAAAAAAAATATTAACTTTACTTTGATTTATTATTATATAAATAGCATACTACCGATGATACTGCTGGAAAAGTCAATATTTTATTACAAGCATACCTATCAAATGCTAATATTGAAAATTTTGCTTTAATATCTGATTCAGCGTATGTGGTACAGATTACAAGTCGCATAGTTCGAGCTTTATTCGAAATTGCTTTGAGTCGTAACTGGGCTCAAGTTTCGTCCATTTTATTAGATTTATGTAAATGTATTGTTCAGCGTATGTGGACGTTTGAGAATCCTTTGGCTCAATTTAAACTGCCTCGAGAGACTATAATGAAGCTTCAAAATAATTCACATATCCCTTCATTAGAGGACATGAGAGATATGTCCTCGGCTGATCTTGGACAATTAGTTAGGCAGAATAACATGGGCACTTATATTTCTAAATGTGTAGACATGTTTCCAATGCTTAAATTGGAAGCACATGTTGCACCGATTACACGTAATATTCTACGAGTAACTCTTAGTATTACTCCTGATTTCGTTTGGAATGATCGTATTCATGGTATTGTAGAACCATGGTGGATATTCGTCGAGGATTCTGAAAATATTGAATTATATCATTCAGAAAACAAACGCTCTGTCATTGATCGATCAGATCTCAACATGCCAGCATGATGAATACCAAGACCATATTCAA